TCTACCTCTATGCCAGCTGTATCTTTCTCATTATTATAACAAAAAAAAAACCTGACAAGAATCAATTTTAAAAAGGAGGGCTTTATTTCTGTTCATAGTTTGGGAGAGGACAGTTTGTTATTTAAGGGAAGGCACTATGGAATTTACTGTGACAAGCATAGGACTGGGACTCCTCATGTTACCATAGTCCAGGAAGCAGAGACAACACAGGAAGTGGACTGAGAGTGTAACACCTCAAGGGCCATGTCTAATGATGTACTTCCTCCCATTGCACTCTGCCTCTCTAAGATTCTACAGTCTCTGAAAGCAATGTCACCCATCAGCTTGGGTATAAAATGATCAACCATAAAGGACATTTCACATTCAAATCATAGCACAAGATAAAAAACTATAGGGTGAAAGAAATATGCATATACACAGCCTAAAGAGAGTAATAATTTCCACTGTGTATTGGGTAGCATGTGGAAAGCCAAGAAAATAAGGGAAACCAACAGTGAAAGAGAAGGAGACACTAATACATTTGGGCAAGAAATCTGGTTTTAATAGAAATTTCAACTTGATTTCATTATATTTACATTGTGTTCCAAATTATTATCTATGAGCAAAGTCATCCAGAAAATTAAGGGAGGCATATATGATAAACATAAAAATTAGATATTTGACAAAATAAAATAAATATTGCTTAGTAATTACATCAGGCATGTCTTCAGTCTCTTAGCAAGCTATTAAAAATAGAACAACTGTTCAAAACATGCTGCCAAATTCCTTCAAAATGACTTGTTGTGAAATGTTGACTAAATATCTCAGAACTATATATCATCTTTAGTATAATTAAACATTGTTCAGACTGAAGACGTGTTTTTTTTTGCGTTCAGAGACGTAAATTAAAGGTGACGTTCTCTTTTATACTAGAACACAGAAAATCATCCCTTGTTAGCAATTAAAAAGATCTTTTTAAGTTTTGCCATTTATAGATAACCCATTCATTGCTTTTATCTATTTAAAAGGCCCACTAGGAAAAACATAGTCTTTATACTCCTATTTTACATTACAAGTATTCATGAAATATTTACTTTATAGATACCAGTGCATTGACAATTAACATGTCTATTAAGTAAATTTAATGAGAAATCGGATGGTTACTTCTCAGAACCTTTAATACCTCCAGTTCTAGTGAGCACTCACATCATGATTCTATCTAAACCCTACCATGTGGAATATTTCTAAAAATATGCCACATTCTCCAGCATTGCCCATTATCAACTTCTGAAATGACACCCATTTCAAGCCAAATGTCTTTGATACCTCCAAATCAAATGAGTATGAAAATGATAAAAACGGATAAATACCCATTTCTGAGTGATACTCCAGAGATGTTCTGTGTATTGCCCTCCTTTGCGAATGATGGGAAATGTTAACTTTCTTATGATCACACCTGTGATGAGAACCCTAGTCTGGTGAAGACACAACCCATGCTTTATAAGTTCACTAGTGAATCATGTGAAATAACAGAATGCCAATGTCTTCTGCACTCTTGTTGAAGCAGCACTTACCAATGGATGTGTAATAAAATTACTTTTATTTTGCTTGTGAATACATCTGGTGAGTGGGGGGCACACATATGTGTGCATATGTGTGCATACATAGGTCTGTGTATGGAAACCCAAGGTCAGTATCTTTTTCTCAGTCACTCTCCACCTTATTAATTGAGGCAGGGCCTCTCCCTCCAATCCAGAGTTCAGGTGCTCAGCTAAGTTCAAAAGCCAGCTTGCTTTAGGAATCTCCCATCCTTTATGTCACATACACTGGGATAGGATTGTGGCTGGGCCATTATGTCCATGTGACATTTACATGGGTGCTGAGGATTCACTCTCTGGCCCTCTTGATACCACAGGAAATACCCATTGATCTATTACCATAGCCCTTAATATCATTCTTTACAACGAATGCCCCATGAAAAAAAGTACTTTTGAATAGTTTTGATGAATGTCAAATTATTCCCTTTTACTGTGGCACTTCTAAGAATTTTAATACACAGTTGGGCATTTTGATCCTTCAAAAAGCAGATATAGTATAATGTCCATGTTGTCCATAAATCTTAGAACAATGAACAAAATGGTTGATAGATCATCCATATTAAACCTAGGACAAGCATTCCTTGAGATGACTAGGATTTTCTTTTGTGTTTTTTTTTTCATTTTCTTTCTCTTTAAGATATGTGCATTTTTCTTTTTTGCTTTCCTTTTATGACCTGCTTTTCCTTCACCCCCACACATACTTTTTTGAAATAAAATAATCATGTCCAATCATCCCAGCCAGCAGGTACTGCTTTATTCTTCCTTCAGATCCACTCACTCTCTCTCCCCTTCTGCCTCCTGACTCCATTCAGTGAAATTCCACTGAGCATGCAATATTGTGTACTTTTGGTTATAAGTGTGGTGTATGTGTCTGTTTACACTATCATGTGTAAATCTCCAGCTTCGGGACAATGACTTTTTCTACATTTTGTAGCATAATGATATGGTACACATAGTTATTCAGTGGACCATCTGTCTAACTAAAACTGAGCCTCAGGATTGTGACTGCAGTATAGATAGGGGTGAATATAACCCAGGGAGACATTTTTCTCTATTCCTTATTTAAGAATGAATGAAACTTTAAAATTCAAAGGAATGGAATTATGGAATGATAAGCTACTCACTGCCAAGCGGCTACCAAGCACCTATCGTTCTGCACATAGTGCAGGTGGAATTTGATATCTATTGTGATTAATTTTGCCTCAAGAAACAGGCTAAGGCAAGAGAAAACAGCATTTCTGGTCTAGATCCAGTGCATTACCTCTTTGCTCTCAATTGTACAGGTTCTGCTGATCTTCTTTGTGTCCCATGCTCTTCTTGTCCTACCCTGATCTACTCTGGTATGTTTCCTCAGGGCACTTAATATCAACAGTAGGTAATTGTGGGTATTCTTTGCAACTGTTTGTAGCTCAGATGGCTTAAAATACATATTTCCCATGATTTCATGAGAAAAATGTCTGTGTCAAGGACCTGATATTGTCTTTCTTCCCTTCTCTTTCCTTCCCTACCCTTCCATCCCACTCCCCCACCCTCTCCTGCCCTCACCTTTCTTTCCTTTCCCTTCCCTTGCTCTCCCTTGCCTTCCCTCCCATTCCCTCCATACTCTCTCCTTGGATGAACCAATAACTTATAGAATCTAGCTCTAAAATACAGATATTTACAAGCTGAAAATATGTTTCCCAACTATGCTAGACTCTATGATGCCATTGAGTTTCAACATCTCATAACAGTAAACACTGCATCCATGAAGATATTCATTCATACCAGACTTTTAAAGGAGATAACAAAATTCACAACTGTTTCCTTTCCACATGTCAGAGAGAACCAAATGAAAACTACAAAGAACTTTGGAATATTCTACCCCTCTCCTCACCCATGGATGACCCCTTCTCTCAATACCCCTTACACATAGTCATCTAGAGTTACTGTGGGTCCTAGAAAAGGGAGCTCTCTGTGTCCTGTGGTTGTTCATTTGGTTTTGTTCTGCCCTAGCCTCTCACTGACTTATGAATTCCATATTAGGAAATAACTTGAAGAAAGTCTTTTCAATGAATTTTATTTAGCTATCATAATAGTACATTCATCTCCATATGTTTTAAATAAAACATGAAAATTTTATACTATAAAACATGGAAATGTTCTTATTGTAGATGTGGAAAACATATAAAAATAGAAGCCATATAATTTCCAACAATAGAAGTTAATTTTAAATTTATACACCTTATATACTAGAGAACTGTGATTTGTTAGTACGCATTCATTACTGAACATATTCACACACACACATACACACATACACATGTACAACCCATATATATACATATATATATATATATATATTCTGATTATGATGTGGAAGTTTTTCCCCCAATATTTGTATTAAAAAAAGATCAAATCATAAGAAAGAATATTAAATGTAAACTAATTTTTGTTATGTATATAATAAGACACATATGCAATAAATTCACATTTATCAAATATAATCTATATGGTTATAAACAAAAATATCATCAATGATGGTATTTTGTAGTACAATAATTATTTTGTTTCTATATTTCCATAATGAACAGATATAATACAAATTATAAAATCATTAAGACCTTTTGTTTGAAAAAGCAGACAAAAAGAGTCCTGTCTTTCCTTGCTCTAAGATCTAAGTCCTTCCAGATCTCTTCTCTGTGGTTCTGTCTGTTTACACCTGTCTTCCACAGAATGACTCTACCGTTTGGTCTTCAGCTACCAGGGTCCTGTTGTTTTTCAAATGTTCTTAGCATGGCATATTGCTCTTCAATCCAAGAGCTCCTAGAAACACTGTCATTCTGGTCATTCATATGTAATAAATGGATTTGCAAATATACCAGAAAATAGCATAACACAGTTGTGGGAGGCAAATAGTGTAGTTTACCAATAAGCAACTTACGGAGAAAAAAGCATGAACAAAATATAAAATTGACAATAAACTTACCAAAATTCCGGCAATTAATCGTTAGGATCAGTGCATGAACCAAACAATTCTAATCAGGAACCCAGAGAGAATTATGTTTAAGGGTGGTAGGAATTAATACAATAAATGAGTTAGCTTGGGTTTATTGTAGTAAATAATTAATTCAGGATAAAGAAGAAATATGCAAAAAACAGAGTCCCCTCTTCGTTTTTCCCATCCTTCCTTCTTTTGTTTTTTTCTCTCTCATTACATAAATATTTATTGATCAATTTTTTGTAGGCAAAAATATCCTTTCAAGCCTTGAGCAGTGTGGAGATTGATAATTTTCTTCAAAAATATTTATAGTTTAGTTGGTGAGTTTCTGTGGCAAAAGTTTGTACAGTAAAAGAAAGCACTAAATCCCACTGTCCCCTTTTGATAGTCAGCTCTATTGATGTCTTGTTGAATGTATTTTCTTTTATTTTTTTTTCCCTCTACAGGTCTGTCTCTGAAACAAGCAAAGGATGTTTCAAGTGGTCCTTAAGGGGACTGAAGCTGAGTAAATCCTTACATATAGTCCCAATTTGATGTATATATGACATCTCTAAAGAAATGTTATTTTTCTAATAAAAACATATATATAAGCACCTTTGTAATGAGGGTATGTATCTGTCTATAGTCAGAGAATAGTAATTCAGGCAAAATGGTCTAGTGGTCATGGAATCTGATACCTTTTTGATTTGATCAATGTCTTGTGTTTATGCTACCTTATATGTAGCTTTAAAATTAATGTTTGATATATTGAATATTGCCTGAAACAAATGCTTAAAATTTTATGAAGATTAACTTAGCTAGGGTTTTCTACCTCTATTTTTATAATAACATCTTATCTTTTGGGTTAATAAACATTAAACTTTCCCAAATGTGCCAAGGTACAGCTTGAGTCCTAGTCAACCATTAATTGTGTGACATTAGCCCCCAAGATGTAAACTCTACACCAGAAAAAAGTGTTTTTCTCACCACTGCCCCGACAGGGTTATATTCCCATTCCTATTAAAACAAGACTGTTACTTTAGCAGAACAGAACAATGAAAAATGAAATGCATGCCCTCAGAGCACTTGCAAGCAAAATCATGAATCATTTATGTAATTATTGAGTCACCGTAAGATTATTCAGTTTAAATCTCTTGTCTGCTTACTTTTGGAATGTGCTATGTGGTATTCTTAATAGACAAATCTCAGTCAATCTATTGACTATGTCTGCTATCATTTATCTTATTTGTCTTAATGCAAATTTTTAGTGGACTTTAATGGACTAAGGCTAAATTATAAAACTCTGTATAGCTATAAAAGAAACAATTGTTAAGGACTAGAAAATAGCCAAGGAATAAACAAGTAATTTCTGGCTTTTGAATTAAATCATGTTCATAAATACGAATAACAAAATTATAAGTGATATAATAAATTTTCTTACGTCATTGTTTTCTTGTATGATGAAACCATTTTTGGTAATAACTATTTTCATAGATGGAAATAAATTAAATGTCCATTATTAGTTGTTGTTCATGGATGTGACAAAATTATTGAATACTTAAATACTTAAGCTTAAAGGGGAAAGGTTTATTTTGACCCTTTTGGAGGTTTCAGAGCATGATCTTCTGACTCCTTTGCCATCGACCAGTGATGAACAGATGGTCATGGCAGAGGGAGTACGAGCTTACTTGCTTCAGGAAGGCTCAGAAGCATAGACAGTGAGAAGCAGCCGCAAGATATACCTTCTAGTGACTCCACTTCCTCTATCCAAGCCCAGCACTACAGTTTCCATTACATTCTGATAACCCATTCAACTGCAGATTCATCAACAGATCAGCACATTGAGATTCGTCTAATACCTTAAGACCCAATGGCTTCTCTAGAACCTCACCCCTGAAAATATTATTGGGAACTTTACAGTCTTGGAGAGGGGACACTTTTTAACCAAATTGTAACAGCTTAGAAAACTGAGTTTTTAAGCAGAAAGCAAGATGGCAGGAGATTAAGTTTACAGGATCAGGGTATTTCTTATTTAAATATCTGCATCATGAAATGAAGCTTCAAGAAGATTCTACTGAGGATTTAAAATACTTTCCCTGTTAGACATTTTCTCTCTTTAAAATGTGTCACTGATAATGTGTTTATCTGAGCAACATTCTCCTCCAACAATGATCTCCTAGTCCCACATGAATCACATGCTCTAGGATGCTAGAATGGATAGCATTGAACACACCATGGAAGATGTGCCGAGTCGGACACTAAAGGAAAGGTAAGGACTGGTTCTAATCAAGAACAAATTGCTGCAAATGAAATAGTCTAGTGTGAGCTAAACCCAACTCCAGTTTGGACAACAGTTGGGGAGTGTTTTCAAGGCAAAATGGGTGACTAAAAATGGGGAGGGTTGGAAGTTTTAGTAGAGCCAGGGAAGTGGGAATTTACCAAAAAGGGGGGGGCATGAAAAAGGGTGATTATTCCAGAAGAAACTCACCTGACTTTGCTCAGAGGTGTTTCCAAAGTTACATGTCTAATCTGGATCCTTGACCTGAATGATATTTTCTAAGTATGCAGAGCACGTAAAAGGAGAAGACCTAGAAGACACTGTCTCTGCCCCTGAATTTACCTAGAGCCCCCGAAGCCATATATATTATGGTAGAAGATACAGGAAGTGGGCAGGTTAATGTGGTAAGGAGTTAGGTTATCAGGCAGTTAGAGAAGTTCAAATAAAATCATAAAGTTCTATTCTAGTTTCTTTAATTGGCATGTATGGCAAAACATCTAAATGCAGTTGAGATATCCAAGTTAGTCACCAGAGAAAACTAAAGTTATATGCATAGCTTTTCTGTACTTACTGTATATAGAACTATGTAGCAGAGGTGAGGGGAGAGGGTGATTGTTGAGTGCCTCCTAAGACTATAGCATGGGCCTGTGAGTATAGCTAGGTCTACAGTAGTAGGTAAAGCAGGGGACAAGTGCATTGTGTGTATGTGCTGAGAGTTGTCTATGGGACCTTAGATCTGCGCTGCTCAGCAGGTATTGGTACCGAAGTGCAGAGGTGAAGAAAGTGTGTGTGTGTGTGTGTGTGTGTGTGTACATACATGAGCTTTTCAGACAGTGAAATGGCACCTTGTGCCTTAGTCCTTGACTTGAATGATGTTTTCTTAGCACGCAGAGCAGGTAAAAGAAGATCTGATGAGGTAACAGGAAGTTGCATAGAAAGAGATAAAACAGAGTGACTTATGAATACCATGGAACTGGACAATCGTGACTTGTATACTGTTTTTGTAATGTTTTTTCTCTAGTCTAGTGTCACTTGACACAATCTAACCTGCATCATTCCTGGAGCACACATCATTCAGCCACAGGTGTTTCTGTTGCTGAGCAGCCAGGAAAATGTTCATTTATGTAGAGCTTCTGGGAATAAGGGAGGCAGGACTGTAACTCATGTTCCCGGAAAGCTCACAGGAGACAAGAAGGAGAAATACCCAATGAACTGATATTTGCTCTTCCTTTCTTCTTTAGAAAATGTGATGCATCTTCTACAGAATGCTGGTATATCAGTCCCCTGTCCATCTCCAATATTCTTTGAACGCATCCTATTTGTTTAGTATCATGCTAGACGCTGAGCCACACATAGTCCCGGGTGGCTACAGTGGGTATAACTCTGACAAATAATTTAGTAAAACACATGTTAAGACAAAATCAACAGAATCCTAATGAGGTACACATGAGGACACATAAATGAATATTAAGCTTTTGTTCATTTGTAACCTAAAACACAGAGAGCATTATTTATCTGAGAGGCAGAGAAGTTGAGTGGACTTTCAGATAATAAGAAAAGAGAAAACCAAGACTATTTTAAGAGCTTAGCATGTGTCAAAATCTAGAGACCAGAACAAGCATGAATAGTCAACCAAATGAAATGGACATTTGAGTGCGGCTGGGGGAAGGCGGTACAGCTTTGCCAAGTGGTATGGATGAGAAGTTAATAGCAGCCAAATCATAGGGGCAGTTGTAAGATACACCTCAAGTGGGTAAGGAAAACAGGGAAGTTTGAGAAAGCAAATAGTATGATTTGCCTTTTAGGATGATAAATTTGGTAACATTGGGGAAATTTGTCATAAAGGAGAAAGCCTAGGTACAGGAGGAATGGCTAGGGAATTTATAGAATCAATACTAGAGAGCAAGCTGCAGAGAGAGGGGAGGAATCTAGGCAGCTAATTGATTAAAGATGGGGGAGAAGGGTCATAGATATCATTCAGATTTCTGGCCAGGACACCTGGTGGTGAAATGTGTTTAAACAATGTGCAGATGTTCAGATGTTCGGTTCAGCTCGGGATGTAGCCAAGACGCTGAGTGTCATCATTGTGCAGATGATCAAACACAGCATAATAGAAGTCGAGGCAGTAAGTGATGTCACCTGATGAGAGTCTGTGCAGTGGAAAGAGGACAGACATCCTAGGAAAACCCTGGGACCTAAGAGATTGAAGAAGTGATTTCAAGAGTAAATATTTTGTGGACGCTTCACAGAGTGGGTGGCCCACACACTGTGTCTAGGAAGCAGAAGGTCAAAATCCTTGAACCTCAAGGTCTCTGATTCCCGTAAGCACAGCTGGATTTCAAGGGAGAGACGAGTGTGGCCTCATTTGTGGAGCAAGCTTTAGTAGTCTAGTTTAACGAGGCTGTAGAAGTTTCCTGTGGGTGGATGGAATAGAAACAACTCTATTGGAAGAGAAGAAAGCATGTAAGAAGCTAATCATTTCTCTTATTTACTTCCTAAATAAGGCATTCCAAATCTGAGGTCTTTTCAGTCAGTATATGAAGACATCTACATTGAGAGTACCTTTATTATTATTATGATTTCTTAGCAATGAAGGAACAATGGGCATATTGAGGATCTTAATAATTAGTCCTACTGGTTTATTGCTGTTTAGTCTTTCTTTACTTATTTATTATTTCTCTCTCTCTTTCCATCTTCCTCTCACTGAGTACCAGTCTTCACCTTTCACATTGTTTGAGACAGAATCTCTGATTCACTGATTCATATGCCAGGCTTGCTGATTAGCAAGCTCCCAGGGCTTCTGTCTCCACTTCCTATCTATCTGTAGGAACCCTGGGATACACACTACCATATCCAGTTTCATGTGGGGTCTGCAGAATCAGCTCTGGTCCTCAGTTTTACATGTAAGTATTTTACCCATTGAGCCCGAACCCATCTGTATAGTTTCAATTTGCTGTGTCTTATACATCTTCTAAGTTTTCAAGTTAATCAAGCACAAACTTCTGTTGTGTATACAGAATGCCACCATCACTAGGTGTGGACCTCAGAGCAGCCCCCACCATCTGTTTTTATCTGGACATGGAGTTTTTGCTCTCCTGCAGATCCCAGCTTCCACACACCAGTGCCTGCTGGCTTTGAACTCGAGTATCATTGTTCTGTAAGCTTTATGTGGCGGTTCTTGTGCCTCTTGTCTTTGAAGTGTACAGGCCCCCACCTCTAGAAAGCCAATATATGAACATCCCCGAATTGGCTGGAACTGAGATTTCACCATTTATGGTGTGTATGAAGAGACCTAAGCCCTCCCTGCAAACCCGTAGGAAGAACTGAACCATTGTTTCAACAAGACAGAAACCACACATCAGTCTTTAAAATATTGTTTAGCAAATCAAAAGAGGAGTACACAGCCTCTTACATGACATGACCAGCATATGATTTACAAACAGAGGTTTGGAAAGAGTTTCCAGCTAATTGAGGAGTGTGTAGATCTAGCGCACAGCTGCTCAGCTTTGCGTGAAGGCCTTCACCAAGAGTGGGCATTTGATGAGCTGCTGCCCCAAAACTTGTATCACTATGTAGATTCTCAGTGAAAGGGTGGCTGTGGTGGTGGTAGAAACTTCATGTTAAGACCTTGAAACTTTTAAGAAAAATCATACTGAGTTTGAGCAGGAAACTCTCCTTATAACATAATCAGGATCATGCTGCAGTGACTTCAGCTGGGTAATGGAAGTTTGCCTTCTCACCAGAGAAACAGATATATGTGCATCTTGGATAATATAAAAGACAAGGTTTTGGTAGTGTTTATATACTCACGGCTTGTCTTCCTGATAAAATGCTGTTTTATGGATCTGTAATGGCTACTCTCCTCTACCATTCTTTATTCTCTGCTTCCTGGACTCTGGGAAGGTTTCTTAGCACCCCTGGGAAGGTTTCTTAGCACCCCTGTGTTCAGATTTAATGACTAGTTCTGGTTAACGAGTCACCAGGGGAATATGACATATATGACTTCCGAGCCAAGACGTTTGGAAGCGGTTCGGGGTATACACCCTTCTTTCTAGTGGGCGATGTTTC